TCTTATTATTAGGTAACTAAGCAAACGCGGAGCACCTTCGTGATGCAAGTTTGTAGACCGCATAGAGATCATGATAGTTCATATCTAAAAAGCGTGACGTGTTAGAGAATAGATTTATTCTAGACTTTAATTCAGGAGACCATAAGAATTTCAAATATGGTTCTCTGTTATTGAAAGTCGCGTTACAGAGTATTGTTAATTTTTAATCTAGTTGTGCAAGATTTTACAATATAAACTTTTGACGAATGCGTGCAGTTACGAATCCGATGCATACCTTTTTTGGATGACTGACAAATCAATTTGTATGATTCTATTTCTGAAAGTTTTCTGATAATGTTTAAGTCACATTTCGGTAACTTTTTGAATGATTTTGGTCACTTTTTTAAATGATTTTAGTCACTAATTCACTATTTTTATTGCTTAACACTGCTATCAGCCCTGCGACTGGGATTAAACCCAGGCCTGCTGGGGTGAGAGGCAATCACGCTTACCACTACACTACCGGCGCCGCTATCGCGCAACTCTCGTTACTGTAACGCATCGTTAGCATAACCACAGACACACAGATGTATACATTTTTCTTGTATACATAGTATCTCAAAACATAGAAACTTCAGAAACGCTCAGACATTTGGGTAACTTCAAAGAACTATAAGGGTAAGTTAAAATAAAGACAGTTTCATTAACTTCTGTTAAAATTCGAGAACCCGGAAATTTCAGGAAAGTCCAGAGAACTCCAGTGAACTTACAGAAACATCACAAATATTTCGGAAAGTTCACAAGTATCGGGTTTTCAGGGCAGTTACATTTGTTTCTGAAGAATTTATAGAACTTTAAGGATGCTCTGAGAACATCATAATCAATTGATTTCGAGGAAATTACTGAAATGTTGAAAGAGTTCAGAGAAACTCAGGGAGTTTCCGAAAACGTCAGCAAAATTTCGAGAGGTTCATGACAATTTTGGGAACGTTAGGGAAGTTTAATGAACATCAGAAAATTGTGAGAACATTTTAAGGGAAGTTCTGTGCTTTCTAATGGCAGTTTTGAGAAATTTTAAAAATTATAATAAATTGGAAGTTCAAAGAAAATTAAAGCTAATGTTCTATTAATTTCAAGAAAATTATGAGAGCACTTAAGAAGTTCTGAAATCTTCAAAATAGTCCCGAGACCTTCAAAGAAGATTTTCAGGTAGTTTCATTATAATGAGGGAAATTCGGAGTACTTCGAGGATGATCAGAAAATTTCAAAACAGACCCACTGTCTTCTGAAAAATTGCAAGAACTCTTAAGGAGTTTTGAGGAATTATAAACTATAACTAAATCATGTGTTAGTTAAATCTGATTGAGAGGGTCTAAAGTGCGCCCCACACGACAAGAGTTTCTTCAATATTTTCAACAATATGGTCGGGGGGTCATCAATACAAAGTCGCTCCTCACTAATAGCGATTTTTTTTATTATTCAAATCCAACAACAATCAATTCGAAACTAACGATTTTAAATTGGCTCACTACTTGACTAGCCTATTGGTCCCAAGCAAATCGATTAACGTACCCCATTCTAGTATAAATTCCAGTACTACACTATGTTTGTTTTGATTCGCTATGAAAGTTTGACAGATAAAATTAGGGGTTCGTGGATTTTCCTATGTTTCGAGAAGTGCATCGATTAGCTTGGGACCGAAGATAGTACCAGAGCTGAGCCAAAAAGTTAAGCTCGTTTCTTTGGGACCTTCTGGTCTTAGAGTTGCCTCTATGGTTCCAACCTGGAACGGCTTGGCTTGTTTTCTGACAAAAGTCAGTTTGATCGTTTGTTTTTAAAAACTATCTCAGGCTGAGGTTCGCACTGACAAAAAGTTCGGTTTCACATTAACTATAATTAACAAATTCGCTATAACATTGTTGTAGCCGCTGGCATATTCCGAGTCGAATCACAACCACCTTGACAAAAGATGTCAAACAGAAGGGGTGAGCTTAAATATTAAAACATCAAATCAAACTTTTTTTGATTTTGCGTCAATATGTTCATCAATATGTTCATCGTCAATATTTGCATCAATATAACTTTTGAGTATTGACAATATTTTTGCCCGTGTGATGCTTGCTCAAGGCCATTCCACGTTTCGTTAAATGTCAGTATATTCGTTGATAATGTGGTTCGTATTCCAAATTGGAAAGGAGCCAGAGTTGTAGGAAGGTTTCTGCCTGTGTTGATAACCAGGATTCGGTCACGTTCCGGGAATTGGTTTTAATATGGATTTGGTAGGCTATGTTAGTGAGGTTTTAGTTAGAAGGCTACAATTCTTGGCTCGGGACGAGACTGCTCCTCTGTTCGCTCGTTTTGATAAGTAATTCGAGAGCTCATCTATTGGCCAGTGTTTAGCCGGGTATCGCAGAGCACGCCGCGAGGTCCTATTCAGGTAGCGCATAATAGTTTTTTTACAGAATCAAGCACCCAGCATCAGCAGTTGGTACGTTCTAAAAAGTTGTAGAACATATTATCAGAAGCAGCTTTAAAGAGCACGCCACCAATATATTTTAAAAGGCATACGCGTTTCATACAGAGCAGAGCATTACATTCTTAAATTATCAATAATGATCTATAAAATAACCCTATAACCCTATGGAAACCTCCCTATACCTTAGACATAACATTTCATTCACTACAGAAGGGTCCTGAAATCTTACTCAGAATTTTCTTGTAATGCTCTTGAAATTTCCCTTCAAAATATGCTCCACATTTTCTTTGAATATTGTACAAAACAATATCCTTGAAGTTCTCTTCAAGATTTTCAAAGAATACCCTTCGAAGTTCTCTAGGAGCTCATCTCGGAATTCCCTTCAAACTCTCCTAAAAAAATTCAGAATTCGAATTTCGTACGGATTGTGATGTCAGTTGAATGGAAAACTCGCTTTCAATCTGTTTCGCAATTTTCGGAGCTGATAGTCTCCGGTCCAGCTGCGCCTTCTTCAGCTCCGCCTTCTTCAGCTCCGCCTTCTTCATGATAGCTCTGTCAATTCGGCCAGTTGTCTTTGAAGGACGCCCCGATCACTTAGCTGGTGAGATAGAACCACGCTTTTTGTACATCTGCACAATTCTAGCGACCGTATCTTTGTGAAGCTGGACAATATCGGCAATATCACGGTAGCTTTTGCCAGCTTTGTGATGTTCAATAATCAAATTTCGGATACTGATCGAAATTTGTGCCTTTTTGGGCATTTTGTTTAATTGAATAACTTCCAATTTTGAACACGAAACTGACATTTTGAGCACGAAAACTTCAAGAGCACTAAATGACAGCTAGACACAATGTTTACATTCGAGAAAGTTGCAGAATATACACTTAAACCATAGAGGTAACTCTAAGACTAGAAGGTCCCGAAGAAACGTGCTCAACTTTTTGGCTCAGCTCTGGTACTTTCTTCGGTCCCAAGCTAATCAATTCACCCCTCGAAACATAGGAAAAACCAATCACCCCTCATTTTATCTGTCAAACTTTCATAGCGAATCAAAACAAACATTGTGTAGTACTAGAATTTCGACTAGAATGGGGTACGTTAATCGTTTTCTTGGGACCAATAGGCTAGTCAAGTAGTGAGCCAATTTAAAATCGATAGTTTCGTATTGATTGTTGATTGTTGATCTCCTATTTACGCTAATATGTACTTTAGCGCAGATAATAAAAAGAGGCTTAAAGACGAATAAAATGCAAATCGAAATAACACTCATGGCAAAATCAAAGCGTAAACCTTTGTGACTTAGGTTTCAATGAACATTCTTACGATACTCAATCTGCCCTTAAAAATTAAATTCAAAGTTCCAAACAGTGCTCACTGGTGCGTGTTCTAGGTGTCTCTGCTTGCGCGTCGAGATTAACACTCGTGTGTGATCATCGATCTGACTTTAATCGATATCAAGCTAGCGGTCCTGCCCTTCGGCGACACTTTGCTTTTGATTACAGACACCATGCTACCGGACCACGGGGACCTCCCAAGTCGTCGTCGGCGACCGAAGAAACAAATGGTTAGTGCGACAGTGTGAAGGTCTGGGAATCTATCGGTGGGTATCCTGAGCTGTCAGCCAACACTAGCCAGTCGCATAAAACTGTTAATCACCGTTAATGCGCCACTAATCAAGTGCAATCAAATTATAAAACAATTAACTACACGCAATCAATTTGAGTTTGTGAGATTCGTCGATAGAAGCAGACTTGCTAAGACCTGTAAGTTCAGATTGACCGCACTTTGTGCACATTGCATATTTAGAATGTACCATCCTATATCCGCTGCGGTAGGTTTGCATCTGATTATAGTAATTTTAGTCCGATCGGTGAACGGTACAACGTGACTGAGTTGTCTGTTGGTAATAACTTTATTATCGTTATCGTGCTGGTGTCTATGTTCGAAGGCCTTAGAGATATGCTTCGAAGCGATGCCTTCCTTTTCAAAGCGCTTCAATCGCATATCCAATGATGAATCTCGTAGATCAAAAAGAATTTCTGTTTGTTGTACAAAACAGCAAAACAATTACGTCAATGATGCTTACCTTAAGCCAACAATGAGCGATTATCGTCACCGAAGTTCGCACCTTGCACGGAAGTCGTGTCAGCAAGTTTAATTATATGCGACTTCGTCATTCGATGTTTAACCGTCGTTCGCAGCAAAAACATTTTTCATTATTGGTGAACTTGAAAGTGAAAACGTCCTACCTATAGTCGCAATATAGCGATTTTAGTACATACTACATACCTGCATAGGATTCTCTTCTTATTATGACACACTGTGATTCGTCAGTCACAAACCAGTTCGCCGAAACACTTCGATTACCGGAATGGCCTTTGGTCATGCTCACGGTCATTGTGGTGTAACTTCTCTTTAGCACACCCCCCCCCCCTTTCTCTGGTTTCAGATTTGGACTCATTCGCAACCATTCGATTTTATGAAACACCTGTGTGAGGCACACCATTTAATTCGATTTTCGTTTTGTCTTTTCCATCTACACAGGGTTTGGCATTTACCATTGAGGAGCGCCAAGCGCTGGGTCTGCACGGACTGATGCCTGCCACCGTTCGTTCCGAGGAAGAGCAGCTCAAGCACTGTCTCACCCTGCTGAACCGCTATGAAAATGATCTGGATAAGTACATTTATCTGGTTGGACTGCTGGATCGCAACGAGCGATTGTTCTACCGGGTGCTGTCTTCGGACATCAGCGGCATGATGCCTCTGGTCTATACACCGACGGTAGGATTGGCTTGTCAGAAGTACAGCCTGATCTTCCAGCAGCCTAAGGGTATGTACATCACGATCAACGACAAGGGCCATGTCTATGACGTGCTGAAAAACTGGTCCGAAACTGACGTGCGCGCCATCTGCGTCACCGATGGTGAACGTATTTTGGGCCTGGGAGATTTAGGTGCCAACGGTATGGGTATTCCTGTCGGTAAGCTCGCCCTCTACACGGCTTTGGCAGGAATCAAACCGCATCAGTGCTTACCCATCACCCTGGACGTTGGTACCAACACGCAAAGCATTCTGGATGACCCTCTGTACGTTGGACTCCGGCATAAGCGCGTTACCGGCGAGGCATACGACGAATTCATCGAAGAATTCATGCAAGCTGCAGTACGACGCTTCGGTCGCAACTGCTTGATTCAGTTCGAAGACTTTGGAAACTCCAATGCATTCCGTTTCCTGGATAAATACCGCGATAACTACTGTACCTTCAACGATGACATCCAGGGGACCGCTTCGGTTGCCGTTGCCGGGCTACTAGCTTCGCTGCGTGTCACCAAGACCAAACTGAGCGAAAACAGAGTCTTGTTCCAAGGAGCCGGTGAAGCTGCTCTTGGTATCGCCGAGCTTTGTGTGATGGCAATGCGACAGGACGGAATGAGCGAGGAAGCTGCTCGCAAGAATATCTGGCTTGTGGACAGCAAAGGTAGGTTGATTTAAAATTTAAAAATCCCAAAATTCCATATTACAACAACATTTTCCGGCAGGTCTTATCGTTAAGGACCGCCCGAAGGGTGGTATCTCCGGTCACAAGCATCGATTTGCCCACGAACATACGCCCGTCGACACGCTGACGGAAGCAGTCAAGGATATCAAGCCTACCGTCATCATTGGCGCCGCTGCCATTGCGGGAGCCTTCACGCCGGAGATCCTACGTACCATGGCTGAACTGAACGAGCGCCCGATCATCTTTGCCCTGTCGAATCCAACCAGCAAAGCCGAATGTACCGCTGAACAAGCCTACGAGAACACTGATGGCCGCTGCGTGTTCGCTTCGGGATCTCCATTTGCTCCAGTAACATACAAGGGAAAAACGTACCACCCAGGCCAAGGCAACAACTCGTACATTTTCCCAGGTGTAGCCCTTGGTGTGATCTGCGCTGGAGCGGCCACCATTCCGGAGGAAATCTTCCTCATCTCAGCACAACGTTTGGCTGAAATCGTCAATGACGACGATCTTGAACGTGGTAGCCTATACCCACCGCTGGAAACAATTCAGGATTGTTCCATTAAAATTGCCGTCCGTATTATGGAGCATGCGTACCAGAATGGCCTCGCCTGCACCAAGCCGGAACCAAGTGATAAGGAAGCATTCATTCGCTCTCAGATGTATGACGTGTCCTATAAGTCCGCGCTGCCAGCGGTTTACCCTTGGCCCAAGTTGTAAGCGACTTGACAGTCGTCTCATTTTTGTACATTTTGTTTCGTTTCTTAACAAGCCTTTCATTTTCGTATTTGCATAGAGACAACGGAAGATTTCAAGCGGGTTTAGAGTTTCGGGTGTACTTTGAAAGGAACAATAATTGCTTCTTTTGAACTCAAATGCAATTTTTTTAACTTTCATAGACCATTATTTTTTAGCAAATTTTATCAACACAAAATCCGCAATTATTTGCGTTGCTCATCTCTTATTCGTTGTCTGCGCTTGTAATATTGTCCTTGTTGATACTAACCAATGTGTACTTGTCGGTTCGTATCTGTATTCTTACATCACTTTCTCATAAATAGCAAACACATTCAAAAGAGGAAAAAAAATAAAAACTGTAATTTATTCGAACCAATGTCTTATAAGATAAATGTTGATGTATAAATAGTAAGCTGTATGATCAACAGCTAGCTGATGTATGGTACTACAAATAAATAATCGTAAGTGGCTATCGAGTTGGTAATGAATGGTGTTTTTATTACGATCTGAAAGAAAAGGACAACGAGCAGATTCGGCGAATCGATGCTGTTTGTTGCGGGTATGAACAGCTCCTATTGTTTAAGAAATCTTTTTTTTTTATTCTATAATGCACATCAGCATACAGTCGAAGGTTTCTGATTTTGATTTTGTAACTCAGAAAACTGCAAACTTTTTAATATTTGATATATTTGTACACTTAAGCTGGGTTTAGACAGTGCAAATCAATTGATCAAGTCAGTTGAATTCAACTGACTTCAACGCTAATTGAACGTGTAACCATGCCATTCAACTGACTTGATCAACTCACTTGAATTGAAAAAAGTTGAACCAACTTTTCAAGCCAATTGAATTCAACTGAGTTGATCATTTGACTTGCCTAGTCTAAACCCAGCTTTAGACAAAGTCATCCCCCCTATTGGCGATCTAGCGATAGCGCTCGTGGCGAATAGGAGAAATAGAAAAACACTATGGTCTTAAAATTTTGCACGTTGAGGTATAGGAAAGAAATCTTGAAAAGCATTTATTATCTGAAAAAAAAAATATTTGTCAGGTTTTTTAAAGCTGCTACGGGGGAAGAAACCTCAAAAGGTATCCGATAGACGCATTATTTTTTGTTTAGATCTTTAGATCTGAACTTTCATTACCTTGTATGCACAAACAAATGTATAGAAAATACTTTATTCGTTAAATAAAAACGTTTTTAAAATATTCTTCCATGCCTCTCCGTGCAAAATTATGATACCACAGACAAACAGACATACACGTAGGCAAAAGAACGTAAGAATTCCATAAGAAACACTTGTGAATTTTAGCCATAGGAAATGAGTGTGTATTTCATTGATTTTCCTTATGAAAAATAATGTTGACGAAAAAATAATAAATCGGAGCAGACTGGAACCGGCAAATGGTCGTTGAGGTTAGGGGGCCCGTATGTTGACCACTTGTCTTTCAACGCTTGTGAAAATGAAAAGGTTAAAGGCGTATAAGAACTACCTCATGCTACCCGAAAATCATTCATTAGTCGCGCTTATGAATTTCATATATGTTGTTCATAAGTCGAGCCTTATGAAATTCTTAGGTCTATTTGCCTCAGTGTAACACATTGAATATTTCTCACTGTAAAACATCGTCGCTAAAACATTACCGCCATCTGTTGAGTACACTGTTGTAGGTAGTTCGCTGCACAGATATGGCGGTATTGTACAAACGTCAAACGCAAGGGAATTGACTATGCACGCCACAGGTGGCAGTACTACCAACAATCAATACAAAACTAACGATTTTAAATTGGCTCACTACTTGACTAGCCTATTGGTCCCAAGCAAAGGATTAACGTACCCCATTCTAGTTGAAATTCTACACTACACAATGTTTGTTTTGATTCGCTATGAAAGTTTGACAGATAAAATGAGAGGTTAGTGGATTTTCCTATGTTTCGAGGGGTGAATCGATTAGCTTGGGACCGAAGAGAACACGAGAGCTGAGCCAAAAAGTTGAGCACGTTATGTCGGGACCTTCTAGTCTTAGAGTTACCTCTATGGTACTACAAACAATCAATACGAAACTATCGATTTCAAATTGGCTTACTACTGATACCCTTCTTCATTCAATTCCTCTCGTGTTTGCCTCCAGGACTTTTATAGTTCCTCTGTAAATTTTGATCTGACCATGTTACAAAAAATCCGTGGAATACCAGATCACCATCGGTCGATGGTTGTTCCCTTAATTTTTGCAAACAATTACCACCATGCTAGTAGCAATAAGAGTTTTTTTTTTCACAGCTGGGTTAACTATAAACGCTTCCACTGGATTTGAAGTATTCAACGAATTTCATACCGCCTCATATCAACTGCAAAAACCCTGTTGCGTATACGTTGCGGAACTAGCAGCCATATTTTACGCAGTAGAGCAAATTGCCTCACTACCATCTGATCACTATTTTATTTTTACTGATAGGCTTAGCTCGTTGGAGGCTATTCGATCAATGAGGCCGATGAAGCACTCCTCGTATTTCCTGACCGAAATCCGAGCTAAATTGAGTACTTTATCTAACTGCTCCTATACTATCACCTTAGTTTGGGTCCCATCTCATTGCTCGATTCCGGGTAATGAGAAAGCGGACTCGCTAGCTAAGGTGGCCGCTATGGAAGGCGATATTTTTGATCGACAAATCGCCTTTGCGGAATTTTTCTCAATTACCCGTCAGCACGTCCTCACCAACTGGCAACAAAAATGGAATGAGAGTGATCTGGGAAGATGGTTACATTCTATTCTCCCACAGGTATCGAACAAGCCATGGTTCAAAGGATTGGACATGAGCCGTGACTTTATACGTGGCATATCAAGGGTCATGTCCGATCACTACTCGTTAGACTCGCATTTCTTCCGAATCGGGCTCGAAGGCAGCAATTTCGACCACGTGCTTTGGTCATGCACCCTCCATTGTGTTGCTAGATCCGAGTTATCCGCATCCCTCAGGGCCCAAGGAAAACAACCTATGCGGCCCGTTAGAGACATCTTGGCGAGCCGAGATCTGGACTATTGCAATTTAATTTATGTGTTTTTAAAACGGATAGATCTGAGGATTTAGTAGTTAGTGTCATCTTGTGTTTCCCCAAGTTGTTAGCTGCCCATCGGTGTACCCCCATGTTTGTCTTTTTCATCAGTTGGTCGCTTAGTTCGAGATCAAGAGCACATTGCTCTCCAAACCTTGTGTTCTCAATCCCTACCCTGCCATCCATTTGTTACAATTTGTTACCTCTAACCTCGAGATAGCCGAGAGTAATCCACCCCCGCTTTACTAACGTTAGTTTTAAGAAATTTTGTAATCCAAACAATGAATATCGGCTCCGCAAAGCTACGGCAAATGAGCCTGGAAAAATAAACGCATTATAAAAAAAATGCTCACTACTTGACTAGCCTATAAGCACAAACGAAGTGACAGACGACTAACTGGCGAAGAAATCCATTTAAATAATGTGGTTCACTGTAATAGAATTTTCTTGGAAGCTTATGCCATCATCCACCAGATGGGTTAGTTTTTTTGTTTTGATTTGAACAAAGTTGATTTTGTGTACAATGATTCTTTGACAGTGTGCAAAGAGTGCGTATTATTTTGTCATTTTTTTATGCATTTCAGTTTTGAGTAGAGTGAAAGAGATAGAACCAAAACATTCCAGTACATTTGGTGAAAATGCTAGTTCAATCCAGTAGTAGTGTTACCATGTGGTTCAATCCAGTAGTAGTGGTGTTGCCATGTGGTACACTGAAAAATTGCAATAGCAGGTTAGTCACCAAAGTTTTCGAGCCGCTCCGTCTGTCACTTCGTTTGTGCTATAAGTCCCAAGCAAATGATTAACGAACCCTATTCTAGTCGAAATTCTAGTACTAGTACACCATGTTTTTTTCCTCCCTTGTTATGGCACAGACCTGTTGGTCCATATTAAAACTACACAATGTTTGTTTTGATTTGCCATGAAAGTTTGACAGATAAAATGAGTGGTTCGTGGATTTTCCTATGTTTCGAGGGTGCATCGATTAGCTTGGGACCGAAGATAGTAGCAGAGCTGAGCCAAAAAGTTGAGCACGTTTCTTCGGGACCTACTAGTCTTAGAGTTACCTCTATGCTCGCCTCTATGGTACTACCACAAACGAAGTGACAGACGACTAACTGGCGAAGAAATCAATTAAAATAATGTGGTTCGCTGTAATAGAATTTTCTTAGAAGCTTGTGCCATCATCCACCAGATGGGATAGTATTTTTGTTTTGGTTTTGCACAAAGTTGATTTTGTATACAATGATTCTTTGACAGTGTGCAAAGAGTGTATCATTTTGTCATTTTTTTATGCATTTCAGTTTTGAGTAGAGTGAAAGAGATAGAATCAAAATATTCTAGTACATTTGGTGAAAATGCTAGTTCAATCCAATAGTAGTGTTGCCATGTGGTACAATCCAGTAGTAGTGGTGTTGCCATGTGGTACACTGAAAAATTGCAATAGCAGGTTAGTCACCAAAGTTTTCGAGCCGCTCCGTCTGTCACTTCGTTTGTGGTACTACCATAGAGGTAATTCTAAGACTAGAAGGTCCCGAAATAACGTGCTCAACTTTTTGGCTCAGCTCTGGTACTCTCTTCGGTCCCAAGCTAATCGATTCACCCCTCGAAACATAGGGAAAACCAATAACCCCTCATTTTATCTGTCAAACTTTCATAGCGAATCAAAACAAACATTGCGTAGTACTAGAATTTCGACTAGAATAGAGTACGTTAATCGTTTGCTTGGGACCAATAGGCTAGTCAAGTGGTGAGCCAATTTAAAATCGTTAGTTTCGTATTGATTGTTGGTACTACCAACTACAATACTTTTAAATTGACCGTTAAATGCTTGTTCGATGAACAACTTGCGAGTGTTATGTCTGTTTGTCTGTCATCATCAGTTTTCTAGTCCTCCTATTTGCCACAAGTGGCGCTTTATGCTATCGTTAGATTGCCAATTGGCAAATCAAAGTTGGCACTCGTGGAGAATAGAAGAACTATGAAAGTGATGATGGTTTCAAAATTTTCCACTGGAAGGTATACGAGTGCAACCTTGAGGTAAGTAAGTATGCTGCAGTTCGCTGTAATACACAACACAATTACTCTTGGCCAGAAACAATCCAAAGATCCTATCAAGTCAGAGACTTAGGTGTTATCCTCGACACCAAATTAACTTTTGCTGATCACTACAATAACATTATCTACAAAGAAAGCAACATGCTTGGGTGCATTAAAAGATTTAGTTTGCACGTCAATGATCCCTACCCAATCAAAACACTTTACGTAGCATATGTGAGGCCTCTTCTCAAACATTGTAGCATAGTTTGGGCTCCATATCATGATACACATGTAAACCGCATTGAATCAGTTCAAAAGCAGTTCTTGTTGTTTGCTCTAAGAAAGTTGGGTTCGACGAGTTTTCTACTTCCATCTTATGAATCGCGTTGTA